AGAAGATTATATATATCTATATATATATAATGTATTTCATTAACACAAATATTTTGCCAGAATTAATATGTAAATTGGATTTTTGCCAAATATAATTTGCTTATTGATTCCATCATCCCAATTCATAAATCCATCACAAGTGATTTTCTTTCAGCTGGAAAAAAATAAGTCCTTTGACTCTTTTTCTTTTCTCATTTGTGAGACCCTAAGGCTCTGACAGACTCATGAATGTGCTCAGTAAGAGGTATTTAGTTAAAAAGTATTCTGCTTTAGAGATTTGGTTGAGGTATTTTTTATAATAGCATGATTCTGATGCTTATTTAAAGATTCCTTATATAAGTCATCATCTTTTCTTATTTTAGTTTGGAGTAAATTTACTAATTTTTTTTTAATGGAAGGTACATCTAAGTGTTGTGGTTTTTTTATGATAGAAATTTGAGAGGAAGTGTAATAATACTGCTCTCATTTATTAAGCATCTGTTCTATGTTGGACATTGAACTACTGGTTTAAAAATATAAATTATAGGCAAGCTTTGCTGGCCGAGTGGCAAGAAGCTACATTGCAATCCCAGAGATGCATGGTTCAAATCCAACAGATGTTTTGCTGGAGAAGGAGGGACAACCTCCTCCTATACCAGTCATATCTGATTTGATGGTTTGTTGTTGTTATGTGCCGTCGAGTTGTTTGCAACTCATAGCGACCCTATGCACAACAGCCCTAAACCCTGCTCTATCCTGTACCAATCGCATGGCCTCTGACACACCCATCCCGATTACCCCAATCACTGAATCAAACCACCTCATAGATGGTTTCCCCTCCTGCGCTGTCCCTCCACCTTACCAAGCATGATGTCTCTCTCCAAGGACCTTTCTCTCCTTACAACATGCCCAAAGTATGTCAGACAAAGCCCCAGAATCCTTGCCTCCAAGGAGTAGCCTGGCTTAACCCTCTCCAGGATGAATCTGTTTTCTTGGCAGTCCATGGTACATTCAGTACTCTTCTCCAGCACCACAGCTCAAAGGCATCAGTTCTCCTTCTGTCCTCCCTAGTCATTGTCCAAGACTCTGATGCATAACAAGTGATTTGATGGTACACACACAAAAATAATAAAATTTTAAAATATATATAAAAAATTATAATCCTCACAAAAAAACCCACAGCTTAGAGAGGCTAGGCACATGTACATAGTCATATTTAATGGTGAATCCAGGTTTTAAATGCTACTACGTCTGACTCCCAAGCTATTTTAAGGGTAAACCCATAGCATGGTGTGTTAAATATCTCTCAGAAAAATAGAACCCCTTGTATGTGCACCAACAGCCATCTTTGTGGACCAGAAACAGAATTGAGTGGCTAGGTCTTGAAGTTAGCCATGTTGAGACATACAAAGTTAACTATATTTTGCTGATCCAAACTTTCTTCACACACATGAGTGATTTCCATTTAGAAAATGGACTTTGAAGCTAGTGTGCCAGTAAGCCCTTGGTAGAAAGCACTTCTAACTTAAAACCGTCTTCTGGGGTTTGCTCAGCACACAGTAAGTATTCCTGTGTAACCAAAATAGGAAGCCAGCTGATTATTTCAAACAAGCAGTTTTTCTGCCAAGGAGATGGCCCCTTCTGAAGTCTCAGGAACTCCCAACAGGAATCTGAACTTCTTCCCTCATGTTACTTACTTAATTTCCCACAGGACCATGACTCTGGTTCTGCTTCTCGGAAGGTGTCCCTCTTGGCACAGAGCACGTCCAGATATCTGTCATCAAATAGCTAGATCTCAGCAGTTTAGCACAACTGGGCCCACATTCCCCTTTTTTCTTTCTACAACTATGTAGTGCCACCACCTGCATTATTAACAGTGTTATCAAATTGTATGTGGTTTCTCTAAATTGGCTTAACAGGAGTTGATGACGTAAAAGGATAGTTTCAGAGTTTAAAGTATCCTTTTGGGGCCACGATCAATATGTGTCCATGTAGAGTGGCATTTAAAAATCTCAAGCTGGGTTGTGGTTATCATTCTCCCTTCTCCTAAGGAAGAAGTGATGTAGAAGTGGAGTTACGCACAGTTGGCAAAAGAGAAAGACCTTCCAGACAGCACTGACCAGTGCTGACCCCAGCGCCCCTACTGGCTGTCACCTTTGAGTGTGTCCAGGAGCTTCTGATGTCATTTATGTGCTGACATGATAATCATCAGGCTTTTTCTTTCCGCACACACAGGCCTTGCTTGGTCACACTGACACTGTCACCTGTGCCACAGCATCATTAGCCTATCACATTATCGTCAGTGGATCCCGGGACCGAACCTGCATCATCTGGGACTTGAACAAACTGTCATTCCTGACCCAGCTCCGAGGTCATCGTGCTCCCGTTTCTGCTCTCTGTATCAATGAGTTAACAGTAAGTGTCTCTGTATCAATGAGTTAACAGTAAGTGTTAATTGCCCGTTCTTGCTTACGGTTGATGAAACAAGTAGTTTTTACCAGCCTAAATTTAAAACGCCTTCTAAGATAATAGGAGCTCATTTTGTATAAAGCAGCTACAAAGTGTATTAGCTTACGTGCTGTTTACAAAAAACTATGACAGGGCTGCATATAGCTGTGACTGTGAGGATGGCACAGAGCCCTTCACTGTTACCCTCTGTTACACCAGGTCCCTGGGAGTTATAACAACCTACTGACACCTAACATCAACAACACAGCTCTGTTTGCTGAGCTGCTGAGTCAGAACCAACCCCTCACTGACCTGCAGTGGTTTTATAGGGCTGTAAACCTCACAGGAGGAGTCTGCCCATCTTTTTCGCACTGTGTAGAGTGCTGGATTTGAACCATCAGAGAAGTGTGCCCTTTAGCAAAAATCCCAGTGGACTATGTCACCAGAGCTTCCTGTATAACAGCAAGTGATCATTAAATTTTGTAGCCCAGAGAGCTGTTTTGCCTTAAAATCTCAGCTGTTTCATAATTTAAACACAGAAATTGTTTACCTCAAGTAAAAAAATTTGTTTGAAGAAAAACAAAACATTCTAAAAGGAGTTTTTTGAAAGAAAGAAAGTTCTAGATTTACTAAAGGCATTAAAAACTCCTTTTAAATATTGTATATGATGTATTTAAATTATTAAGTAGTGAAAATAATAATGTTTGGGTAATCACACAAGAAGGAAAAAAATCATTATAGAACCATTTTTAAAGCATATCCCACAATCATCAAAGGATATAATTTCTTCTCAAAAGCAAGTATTGTACATACAAATAAAGTAAAGCAGAATAAGATAAATGCACTCTCTAGGAGTGTCCGTACAGATCCAGTACCACTGAGGTATTCAGGAAGGGGGTGCTTTGCTAAGGTGGGTTGAAGAGCAGGAAGGCTTGAGCATGAGTTTACCAGAACTGAGGCCCCTGTGTCCAGGATAAATGATCCCTTGTAGAAAATGCCCCCATCTGCAGATCCGTCTTGGAAATCAGTAAGAACCAACCCCAGCCTCATCATTTATTTCCTGAAAGTATATTATACCCATTCCCACTCTTCTCCATAATTTTGCCACATGACAAAGTAATTCTTGCCACAGTACCAAATGCATTTATATCACCTACAAAAACAACTTTCCTTTTGAAGAAAATGGTATCTTTAATTTTTACCCGAAGTTACTAGGCATTATACATGGATTAAATACCTAGTTGTCACTCAAATGGGGAAAGAAAAAAAAAATCCGTTCTCTTGAATGGTGCGTAATGTCTGGTTGATAAATCATAACAGTATGTTGCTGTTGTTGTTGTTGTTGTTGTTAATATACCATCAGGTTACCTGTGACTCATAGCGACCCTGTGTACAACAGCCCTAAACTCTGTTCTATCCTGTGCCAATCTCACTGTCTCTGACATACCTACCCCCATTACCCCAGTCACTGAATCAGTTTATCTCATCAAGGGTCTTCCTCTCCTGCACTGTCCCTTCACCCTCCCAAGCATGATGTCCCTCTCCAAGGACTGGTCCCTCCTTGCAGCATGTCCAAAGTATGTCAGATGAAGCTTCAGAATCCTTTCTTCCAAGAAGCAGCCTAGATTCATCCTCTCCAGGACAAACCTGTTTGTTCTCTTAGTAGTCCATGGTATATTTGATACTTCTCTCCAACACCACAGCTCAAAGGCATCAATTCTTCTATCATCCCTAGACATTGTCCAGCTCTCTGATGCATAGCAAGTGATTGCATAGACCATGGCCTGTATTAGGTGCATGTTAGTCTCCAGACTGACATCATTGTTCTTCGGTACTTTGGAGACTTCTCTGACAGCAAACTTTCTCAATGCAATTCGTCTTTTCCTTTTTCTGGCTGCTGGTACCAAGAGTGTTGATTGTAGAGCCAAGCAAACTGAAGTTGTGAACAGTCTCAAGCTCTTCATCATCTATCATGATGCTGTCAATTGACCCAGTGGTGGGAATCTTTGTTTTCTTGCTGTTGAGCTTCAATCCATATTGAAGGCTACAGTCCTTGATCTTCTGCAGCAAGTGCTTCAGGTTCTCCTCAGTTTCAGCAGCAAGCAGGGTTGTGTCATCAGCGTAACACAGATTGTGAATGAATCTTCCTATCTTCCACCAATCCTAATGCTACACTTCTCATAGAGCCCAGCCTCCCGGATAATCTGTTCTTCATATAGATTCAAAAGGTATGGAAGGTATGGAGATAGGATACATCCCTGGCATATACCCTTCCCAGTTTTGAACCATGCAGTGTCCTTGCTTTGTTCTGATGACTGCCTCCTGGTCCAAGTATAGGTTTCACCTAAGTACGATCAAGTGTTCTGGGATTCCCATTCTTCTCAGAGTCAGCCACGGTTTGTTATGATCCACACAGTCAAACACCTTTGCATAGTCAATGAAACACAGATAGACATTCCTCTGGAACTCCCTGCTTTCAGCCAAGATCCATCTATATTAACTACGGTATCCCTAGTTCCATGACCCCTTCTAAACCCAGCCTACACTTCTGGCAGTTCTCTGTTGATATACTGTTCCAGTTGTTTTTGGATAATCTTCAGCAGAATCTTGCTTGCATGTGATATTAATAATATTGTTCGATAATTTCCACACACTGTTGGATCACCTTTCTTTGGAATGGGAACAAATACAGATTTCTTCCAGTCAGTTGGCCAGCTGGCTGTCCTCCAGATTTCCTGGCACAACTTGGTGAGGACATCCTAGTGTAGCAGCTGTTTGTTGAATTATGTCAATTGGTATACCATCAATTCCTGGGGCCTTTTTTTTTTTCTTTCAAAGCAGTTTGAAAGAATAACAGTATACAGAATTAAAATGTGAGGAGATAAGAGGGAAATATAGTAGAGATGTAATAAAAAAATCAAATTACATTTTACATCTGTTTGAAAGAGTTGGTCCTGTACATGTTTGCATCTAAAGTTGCTGTTGTTATGTACCATTGTTGTTACTCATAGCTGACAATGCAGTGGGGTTTGAGAGTCTGTAAATCTCATGGGAAGAGATTGGCTGTCTTTGCTCTCACAGAAAGCAGCTGGTGGATTCAAACCTCTTGCCTTTGTGTCATCAGCAACAACTCCTTACTCACTACATCACCAGAGCTCTGAAAGTTTTCGTAGCAGAGTTATGCTCCAGGAGTGTTGCCCTGCTTCAGCCTATTAATTCCACCATTTAGAGCATTTGCTTTGGTGGTTTTCTTAATTTAGACACACTTTAGCAGACTACTAGCCAGCTATATTTGAGCCAGTGTAAACTGACTGTGTTGGAGAAGTTGCTGCAAAAAGTTGGAGAAGTTTTCTCCAGAAAGGAGGGTTTACTTTTGTTTTCTTTTTAATATGCTTTCTTAATCTCTCCTGAAGAGATTTATTTTCCTGGAATGTTTCTTCAACCAAATCTCAAGTCTGCTTTACCTCAGTCTACATTTTGGGCCAAGTGCACTTTGCAGTTGCCTTTACTTTCCCTTCTCAGAACTCTCCCACACCGCCATAGGGTTTGCTCTAATGAAGGCTACCCTGGGGTAATTGAGGGAAATTTAGCCTAGTACGAAGTACAGCTGCTGGCTGTACTCTCTCACAAAGACAAAGACCACTTACAGAAACCCGATTACTGGCATCATATCTAGATCTAGTGCAAGTGCTCAAGCGAAATTTAGACCAAGAAACAGTTGCTCAAACTGAACAAGGGAACACTGCATGGTTTAAAATCAGGAAAGGTATGTGTCAAGGCTGTATCCTTTCTTCATAACTGTTTTTATGTTGAGCAAATCCTCGAGAAGCTGAACCATGTGAAAACGAATATGGCATCAAGATTGGAGGAAGATTCATCCACAAACTTGCGTAATGCAAGTAATACAACCTTTCTTAAAAAATATGAAGAAGGCTTGAACGACTTAACTGATGAAGACTGAAGACTACATCATGATAGATGGAGAAAAGATTGAAGTTGTTAAAGAATTAATGTTACTTGGGTTCTCAGTCTACACTCATAACAGCAATCGAGGAAAAAAAAGATGTGCTGTATTGGGGAAATCTGCTGTTGAGGACCTCTCCAAAGAGCTAAAGAGCAAGGATGTCCATTTAAAGACTAAGGTGTGCCTGTTCTAAGCCATGAATTTTCATTTGCTTCATAGACTTCTGAAAGTTGCACAGTGAATAAGGATGATCTAAGAAGAACTGATGTTTTTGCCTTGTGTTGGTAAAGAATATTGAATATCCCATGGGCTACGAAAAAAAATCTATAAATTGGTCTTGGAGGAAGTGCAACCAGAATGGTCCTTAGAAACAAGCATGATGTACCTTCATTATTTTGATATGGCAGACAATTGGCAAAAGAATTTAACATTTGTCTTTGAAACTCAAGAAAATGGGAGTTGTCAGTTCAGAGAGCCTCTAGACTGTACTAAATTCCTTAAGAAATCACTCAGTACCAGTTTTCTTTTGCCACCATTTTAATTCCAATTTTAAAATAAGAAATTATAGTGTCACCAACATACTGACTTCTCATATACAGATACATACTGGACAAAATAGTTTCTTCTCTGCCCTGTTGTGTTGATGGTTGGGCTAATTTTGCTCATTAAGAGAAGATGCCTCTAAATGGAAAGTGCAAGGAATCTTGTAAACAATAATAGGACAGATGAGGAGTTGATTACCTCCTCATACTACAAAAAATATCTTCCATAGAATAAACCCTTACTAGGCATTCAGAAAGTGCAGTCAGGGCACTCTCCAAGTTACTGAGGAGCAATTCAAGGACTAAGGTGCACCTGATTCAGACCATGGTCTTTTCAGTCACTTGCTATGCTGCTGAGAGCTGAATGATGAGTAAGGATGACAGAAGAAAAACTGATGCTTTGAACTGTGGTGTTGGAGATGAGCACTAAATATCCCATGGACGGCCAAAAGAACAAACTGATATGTCTTGGAGAAGGTGCAGCGAGTGCACCTTGGAGGGAAGGATGGCAGTGTCATCTTGTATACTTTTTCAGCATGTTGGTAAGAAAGGCTATTCCTTTTAGGTTGGAGAAGGATGTCGTTCTTGGGCAGGTGGAGAGCCAGGGAAGGAGGGGAAGACCCTCAACCCGGTGGGTTGAGACAGTGATTTCAGCAATTAGCCTGAGTGTGTCAGAGGTTGTGAGAACAGCACAGGATAGGACCTGTTCAGCTCTGTTGTTCATAAGGTATTTCTGAGTCATACTCAATTCAATGACACCAAACAACAACAAGTGACTCTGGAGGGAACTTTCTCTGGTGGACTCAGGAGAAAGGAGTTGTGCTACCAACCAGACACGGTGGTTCAGATCCACCAGCTGCTCTGAGGGAGAATGGTGGGCAGTCTCCTGTCCTGTGATTTACCACTTTCGAAAACCTCCTGGAAAGTCAACCAAATCAGTTCTGACTTGCTGGCACCCAGCAACAATAGGTAGTGTTATGCATTACGTGTTGCCTTGGCTGACCAAAAGATCAACAGTTCAAGTCTAGCAGCTGCTCCACGAGAGAAAGATGGACAGTTCCATTCTTGTAAGGATTTACAACCTCAGCAACCCAACGGAGGTTTGCAAGTCGGAATCAACTCTAGGGCACTGTGTTTGATTTGGGTTTAGGCAGTAGGCTGTTACTAGGAACCCCTGGGTGGTAGAAATAGATCATATGCTTCACTAATGTGCTAGACCTGCAGGTCTACCGAAAACATCTTGGAAGAAAAGCCTGGTGGTACACTTCTTAAAAAAATCCTCTTGAAAGCCCTGTGGTACTCCCTTCTCCTCTGACACACATGGGGGCGCCATAAGCAGCATCAACTGAAATGGTGATTGTTTTTTTTCAACCATGAGGTTAGGCCATAAACTAAGAGTAGAGCCTTCTACTTTTAGTTTTCTTTGAGCACCTATCAGCCACAGCTTGCACTCAGTTTTGAATTCCTAAAAGAAACCTTTGTAAGGGCCTTTGTTTAAGCTAGAGTGAGTCAGTGTGGAATTCCAGGACACCTCAGAAATTATTCAGTCACCAGTCCATGTACTGTTGTTGTTGTTGTAGTATACCTTTGAGTCAGAACTGACTCATAGCTAACCCTCCAGTATGTTTTCAGAGTTGCAGCTGGGTTTGAATTGCATTCTTTTGGGTCTACAGCTTAACTCTTAACCACAAAGTCTCCAGAGCTCCCTGTCTATGCACTGAGTTTAAAAGCTAGCCCACAAACTCACTTTCTTTCTGAAAATGGTATGTTGTGGAAGGGAGCAAAGAGAATGAAGGCTTGTTCTTCATCTCCTCAGGGGGACATTGTGTCCTGTGCTGGCACTCACATCCACGTGTGGAGCATTAACGGGAACCCTATTGTGAGTGTGAACACATTCACAGGGAGGAGCCAGCAAATTGTCTGCTGCTGCATGTCAGAGATGAACGAATGGGACACGCAGAACGTCATCGTGACAGGACACTCGGATGGAGTGGTGCGGGTAAGTGAGCCAAGAGCAGACCTCATCCACTGCCCTTGCTTACCTGAAACTTGTGAAGCCGCCCACTGTTGAAGGACTCTGGCACAGCATGTGATGTCATTTAACAAACTTCGCTCTAATAAGTCAGTCTGTGACCACTGTCTGCCTAGTATCATCAGACATGGTGAACATGGATGGCTAGGCCTCTTTCCTCCTATTGAGAGGTCTGTTAGGGAAGGTCACTTAAAACACATGTTCCTGTTGCCATGAAACTTGCTGAAAATGCCAATTGCGCAGTGACTATAGTCTGTCAGATGGTTTCTTAGAGACAGCACAGTAAGGAGGTTTCTCTAGAGAGAGAATCACAGCTGAGAAAAGATGTCTGGAGTTGCCCATAATTTCACCCAGAACCTGTAAGCTAAGTGTGGTGCACTACTTTCTTTGTATTGAGCATCTAAAGAAAAGAAATCAACAAAGAATTCACCTTTTAGTCTGTTTAAATATTTGGGTTTCTTTTCTCCCTCAGATTTCCCTTATTCCTCTTTTCTTTAGTAAATATTAGCATTTTCTCTGTAAAAGATCAGCTGAGTGCTGAGCTCTTTAGTCACTGTCAAACGTTAGAGATACTGCAGTTATCAGCCTACTCCTTCCACCGCCCCCTGTGCCTCAGACTGTGCACACCATGGAACCTGCTTCTTCCAGAACAGTGAGGCACAGGACTGGATCTGTGTCATGTTAGGACAAAACTGCATCCCCAGATAAACCTGGGAATCCAGTGTGCTCTCTGCTGGCTGGGAAATCCACAGTAAACTTGACTGCATGTGAGGTTCTGAGAGATTTTTACACGGAAGCAGAGCAGCTCAATTTGTTAAACTCGGTTTGCAAAACTTAATTGACCCCAGTCTTTTTCTTTCCACTTTTAAGTAAATGCCTTTTAACACCTCATGGAACTGTTCGGAAAGCATTATTCTAAATGAAGTAACCCCAATTCCTTAAACTTTCCATCTTCATTCTGTTTAAGACTTAAATAAAGATACAGACATGTCCTCATTGAAATCTGACCCAAGAATGAATGCCATTTATGCCTTACATAGCTTATTGCTAAAATATGTGCATTTATGTTGCCTTCAGTGTTATTTGTAATGAAACTAAGTGTAAATTTAATATATTCATGCTTTCAAATTTGCTGTATCATGACTTTTTAAGCATTTGTAGACCACACTCTTACTTATGTTTGTCCCCTGCTGCATTTTTTAATATGCAAGAAATCTAACTATATGTAATAATGCAAACTGTGTGATTTGTTAGCCTCCACCCACCCAAGCCCATTTTCACTGAGCAGCATTTGCGTATTTCCTTAATCTGTTCCTTAACGTTCTACTCATTTAAAACCAGTTTTGGAGAATGGAGTTTTTGCAAGTTCCTGAAACACCAGCACCTGAGCCTGTTGAAGTCCTTGAAATGCAGGAAGACTGTCCAGAAGCACAAATAGGTATTCAATGCTCTATAAAATATTTTTCCATAGTGTTGTAGTAACTTACTGATGCTATAAAAGCAAATTCAACAAGCGAATAGCTTTAAGGACAAATTGATGTTCTCACCATTGAGAAAACTGGAAGTTCAAATTCAGAGTGTGCCTCTTGAGGAGGGTCTGTCTTTTTCTACTTCTATTTCTCAGAGTCAACAGTGCTTAGCTTTTTTGATATTTTCACTGCATCTTCCCCCTTTTTGAATATTCATGTGTGTTCAGTATTATTATTATTATTATCATTATTTATTTTTTATTATTATTATTATTTTATGTGTACCGTCAAATCGGATCTGACAGGTACAGGAGGAGATTGTCCCTCCTTCTCCAGCAGAGCATCTGGTGGATTCGAACTGCGTATCTCTGGGATTGCAGTGCAGCTTCTTGCCACTAGGCCACCAGAGATCCCTTGTTCAGCTCTTTTAATGACAAAAAGTAATTAGGTTAGACCCTAGCCTACACTGGTAGGCCTATATTAACACAACAAAAGACAATCCCTCTTTCCAGACCAAGTCATATTCACAGGTAACTCGGTTAGCATAGAGTTGATGATGACCCTTAGTAACCCTGTAAGACAGTGGGGGCTGGCCTCCATGGTTTCTAAGGCCAATCTTTATAGAAACAGACTGCCAGATCTTTCTCCCATGGAGAGGCTGTTGAATGTGAACTACTGACCCAACAGCTAGCAGCCAAATGCTTAACCACTGTGCCACCATTTCCTGTTGCAAGGGTTAGGATTTCCATCCTTGTCATTCAGTCCATGATAAGTAGTTTTACTCTTGTTTTTTGCAAGTCATTGTGAATAAAGTTACATCACATAACATAAACATGAGCTTGAGGTTGGGTATTGCTTTCAGAATCACAAGAGCAACCTATGATACAGTTCCTTAGTACAAATGTGCAAGATTTTCTCAAATTCACTTGTCAGCACTCAGTGTGGTAGCATCCTATCCGTGAGTTCTGCTTTCGACATGAAATAGAATCACTGGCTTCCTGGCATACCAAAAACTTAGACTTGCAGCTCTGAAAACATTAGTGTTAGGTAAGTCAAATGCCTGCTTCTCAGTCTCTCATCCCTCTCACTTATCAGCTGGCTGGCTGAGTCTGTATAAGAGAGCTGCATCGTGTTTGTAATTCACAGAGGCAGTCCAGAGGCTACTTTCAGTAGGGTAATAAGTTGACCTGAAACCTGGTGGCACAAATATTTAAGTGCTCAACTATTAACCAAAAGGTTGGGAGTTCACTTCCCCAACTGTCACCTCAGAAGTAAGGACAGGTGATCTGCATCCAAAAGGTCCCATCCTTAAAAGAGTAATAGAACACTTCTCCTTGTGGGGTCACCATGAGTCCAGATCACCTCAGTAGCAATCCGTTTGTAAAGCACTTAGGAAATTTCCAGTAAAATAAAGAAGGGAGCAATTTATATACAGAATGATTTAAAACAATGTCATAAAGCCAGATAGAGTGAGATAGGTTTGGGTTACTAATCTCTAGATTGAAAAGCATTGATTTAAAACAATTGGCACAAGGTGCTTTCTAGAAAGGAGCAAGATTTTTTTTTTTTTAAGTTTGGCCTTTAGATTGTCTCTCAGTGATTGATTAATTTTGGTGCACTGAGAATTCAGTGTAAGTTTAACTATGTGATGGAGTTACTAGGGGAAAAATGTTTCTTGTCAGAAACAAGCATCCATATATTTGCCAGAATGGTTTGTCCATGCAAGAAGCAGAAAAGATCCCATGGGCAGGATGCTTTAATGCTTATAGTACCATAATGCATATAAATTTCCACGTAACAATCAGTTGCGTTTTATGTGAGTGTTAGGGAACAGAAAACTTCAGTGAGTATTTGTGGTTGCTTGTTTACCTGTAATCGCTAGATTACTTTATCCAGTATGTTGTGAATCACTTTTCTTCCTTTGAAGTAGGTTTCAAGTTAATAGCCGTGAAAGCTGAGATGAATAGTTAGAAGGGGATGGGATCAGAATTGGAGAGGAGAGACATTGTAATTGTATGTCTTATCTGCCTTTTGTAATCTTTTTATGGAGAAGGTTAGACAGAATGGTAGAGAAAGGTTACCCACAAGGAAAGACTCAACACCATAGAAGTTGAGATCAAGTACTTGAGTAAAAAAAGAACATAGGTAAATGAAATAGACCCTTTTTCAATAGCCTTAAAGCTCATAATTGTACATGGCTGAAGTAGTTAGAACAGAAGGAGTCTGTTATAAGTAGTTAGAACAGAAAGAATCTATTTTAACTAGACCAATGGTGGTAGTGAGTGGAAGGTAGCAAATTGTAGTATTAGCATTGCTGAAAAAAAAAGATGGCTGTGTAATAGGCTGATGTTTGTGTTCTTTGTCTCCCTTTCTTCAGTGATACATACCTACTTCTCATAAACCGTCTCCTACTTACATTTTAATGCAAATAAGTAAAAGTTGAAGTAGGGAACCACAGAACAACAGTGGAAAATGAGAGAAAAACAGAATCCTACATTACATTTTCATCACTCACTCATCCATTTGTCAAGCGTTCATTGTCAAGATTTGTCAAGTATTCATTGATTGCTGTATGCAAGACAACAGTTCTTAAAGCAGCTGGCCACTTAATCACTGTCATGTTGAAAAGAAGACTATCCAAAAGTAATGATTTATTAGAGTGAGAATTTAAAGTATAGGAGTGCCCCAGAACTGAGTCCTGAAGAGAGAAAATGGTTTGGGCTAAAGGGTAAGAATTTAGGGAAAGAGGTGTTTAAGCTATGCCTTGAAAAATAGACATTGTCAGAACACACAGAAATTAAAGAACCACAGGCATGTGCATTAGAGCAGGCCTGCGTGGAGGACAGTGGCACCATCTTGCTGGAAGGTGGTAGGGATTGTGAGTGGGATTGCTAGGAATTTGCAAAGGCAGGTTCGGGCCATGAAAGACCAAATGGAGTCTGAGGCCTTTGGCCAAAGTGTACTCTGTGAACTGTTTCAGAAAAATCTCTCTTTTTTTTCTATATTTAATCTAGTTTAAAAAAAAATCTCACTTTTTTTTCCTTTTTATTGTTAACATTCAGCTTTAAATTGGGTCCACTGTGTTTAAACTGGTAGGAAAAATAAGAGAAGCTAACTCTAAATGTATATATGTTACACAGGGCAGGAAGCCCAAGACGAAGACAGTAGCGATTCTGAAGCAGAAGAGCAGAGTGTCAGCCAGGACCCCAAGGAGCCTCCCAGCCAGCCCAGCAGCACCAGCCACAGGCCCAGGGCGGCCTCGTGCCGAGCCACAGCTGCCTGGTGCACCGACAGTGGCTCGGATGACTCCAGGCGCTGGTCCGATCAGCTGAGCCTAGACGAGAAAGATGGCTTCATATTTGTGAACTACTCAGAGGGCCAGGCCAGAGCCCATCTTCAGGGTCCCCTCAGCCATCCCCACTCCAATCCTATTGAAGTGCGGAACTATAGCAGATTGAAACCTGGTAACTTGAAGTCTCGTATCTTTGTCTCTTTCCTTGTAGAAGATATGTGTGTTGGTAGATCATGACATTGGGGCCTAATTCTCCCAAGCTTCAGTCCCGCTGTGCCCTGGGCACCAGCCTTTCCCCACCCCACCCCACCCCCGACTCCCAGAGGCCTTGTGAAACGAGCAACTGCAATGTGGGGGGTGGCTGAGTCTGACTTCTGCCCACTTCATAAAGGGGAAATGTCCTGATCAGTAATGTCCTTAGTACTAAAGCAATAGCTACATGGTCAAACATGCACCCCATATACTCCTGCACCTATTCCTACAAATCATTGAGTCCAATATTTATTGCAACTTGACTCACAGACTTTGGTCACAGTTGTACAGTTTATTAGGCAAATGGGTTGGGGAGTAGGAAAGGGAAAGAATATCACACTCTACAAGCCAGATTAATAAGGCACAGTTCCTTAATTAGTGAAAGTGCAGTTTCATTTTAGCAGCACACATGCAAGAAGACTAGTTTCCTCAGTCATCCAGCAAGCAAAACCTTTAACTGTGGCTCTATCTCCAGGGTTCCTTTGGCTCATACATTGTCATAGTCTCAGCAGTGCCACAATTTATTTACCCTCTCTCCACCACCATCTCTCACAGTGTGTAAAGTGTTCTCTTATAATGATCCCCCCCGCTGTTGATGATTTGCAAGACTGTGTGTCCACATTTAAGGTAGCTGGAGACCATGCCCCCAACAAGGGCTAACACAATGACTAGAAAAGCTTATTTTCAAGGTTTCTGACACCCCAGGCCAGTTTGGTTACTTCTTTTGCAAAGAGGACTTCAAGATGCTGTCTCACCATGGTGTCTACATTATGTTGAATGAGTGTTGAAGAAAGGTGCCTCAACCCAAAAGCTGCATTCATTCACAAATCAGGTTTTGAAAACAGATTCATTACGCTTACCAAAATAACAAAGTAGAGGCAGGATCCTCAGTCAAACTTTTTTATATCTTCTTGTATTGACCATACCTCCTTTTTCCCTCCAGTTTTTCTCTGCAAATGGGCTATTTTCTGACATGACCTATGAGTAATGTTAAAACAGATTGCTTTTACCGTCAGCCAGCACAGCATCTCCTGAGAACTTGAAAAGCTGCTATCACTGTGTGTTGCAGGCTGCTAGCTTTAACAACCACCACGGTAGGCCATGTTGACCAGTATGGTATGGCATGCCCTGTCTTCTGCTTTTCCACTCCAGGGTACAGATGGGAGCGGCAGCTGGTGTTCAGGAGTAAGCTGACTATGCACACAGCCTTTGACCGGAAGGACAATGCACACCCCGCAGAGATCACCGCCTTGGGCATCTCCAAGTGAGTGTCCACCTTGGTCCAGTTTCTCTCCAACAATTGTTTAGCCAGGGTCCACATGCTATGCCAGTCTTTGGGGGAAAACAGATTTCATTTCTGCTGTTTTATGTGGCTGAGAGAAAAAGATTCAAAGAAGAACACTGCCAGGGTTGGAATTTTATTTCTGAATTTCAAACGCAAGAAAGGCTTTCTTTGTCTGTTCTTCAAAGGTGCAGCAAGGTCTGATGCAAAAAGAGCTGAGATAGGAATGTAAAGTCAGGCTCAGTTCTATTTTTGTAGCTTTCTACTTCCCCTTCTGATTAGCTCTCTGCCCCCATGACCTTCATTCCTAAGCATGCGCACTCACACACATATACACGCGGAATGAGTTAAGAGAGTCTGGGAAAGCCAATCACTCAAGAGCAGACAGAGACACTGCAGCCCTCCATGAAGTAACTTTCCGTCTTGCTCTCCTGCAGGGATCACAGTAGGATCCTCGTGGGTGATAGTCGGGGCCGAGTTTTCAGCTGGTCTGTGAGTGACCAGCCAGGCCGTTCTGCTGCTGACCACTGGGTGAAGGATGAAGGAGGGGACAGCTGCTCAGGCTGCTCCGTGCGGTTTTCTCTCACAGAAAGACGACACCACTGCAGGAACTGTGGTCAACTCTTCTGCCAGAAGTAAGATGAGACGGCGTGCATTTTGATTGAGAGCCCATTAGATTCTGAGAATGTTAATTATGTCCTGCTCTTGGGTTCTGATTTGTCCTGCTGTCCCCATATAAATATAAACCAGTCTTCACCTTGTTCTTTTTTGTTACCATAATTTCAAAAGCACAGTACAGTGGGAGCTCTGGTGGCCTGGTGGTAAGGAGCTGCACTGCGAGCCCAAAGGCGTGTTCAAATCTGCCAGCTACTCCATCAGAGAAGTAGGGGTAACCTCCTATACAATTTACTGCCTCTGAAAGCCCTCTCGAGTATAACCTATGATTTGGTCCTAACTCGACAGTGCATAGAAACAACAAACAATACATAAAATACTCCTCTCACAGTGAAAAGTACAGAAACAATAAACCCAAACACCTGGACACCTATGACTTAGAATGAGCAGATGTCAATATTTCATGTTTGGTTGAGAGATCCGTGTGATTTTTGTGTCCATAAACCATTACAGATGCACTTTAGTTTTTTTTTTTATGAGCACGTGTTACCTCCTTACATAGAACAGAGTATTTCTTGGCATGATTTTCGGTTTCCCATAGCTAGCATATTGCATGTACCATCCTGTGACTGACTTCTTCTAGTCATTATATTTTTTTTTTGAGATTCATTCATATTGTTAGCTGTTATTTAGACATCTGCTTTTACTTTTTTTTAATTACTGTCAGATATTTTGCTATATAATTATATCAATTTGTGTCTTTTGATGAACACTTAAGATTTCTTTTTTACATTATTGGTACTATAAAAAGAGGCAGTGCGATTAATTATTTTGGCCTATAATACACACCCCCCTACATGCCCTTTTAACAGCATGTGCTCGAGTTTCGGCAGTGGAGGTAGCACACGGTGGAGTGATAGCGCATGGACAGACCCTCAGTCTTAACCCACTAGTGGCTGTGTGTGGAAGAGCTGTGTTCCTAGGGTTTTTGGTGGCTGACATTTTGAAAGTAGATCAACAGGCCTTTCTTCTGACCTACCCCTGGGTGGACTCGACCCTCTTAACTTTTTGTTTAGCAGCCAAGGGTGCTAACTATTTCCACTTCTAAGAGACTCCAGAGCTCAAGTAGATGTTGCCAGACTACTCTCCAAAACAATAGTGCCAGTTTATACTCCTTCCAGGAGAAATGGATATTTTCCAAATTCTTATTAGTGGTTAGTATTGCCAAACTCCTTTTTACTTTGGCCAATCTGATAGCTAAGAAAGCATACTTTCATGTTTTAACCTGCAATGCTAGTGAGGTTGAACATCTTTTCATATGCTTCTTGGCCGTTTGGAGTTTCCTCTTGGATGACTCTTGACCCATTTTTTTTTTATTTTGAAATGCTTTCCATGGGCATATCTTCTACCAATAACATTACAACTTTATATATGTTACGTGCAAGCTTCTAATTTTTAATGTCAGACTTTATTACTTTTTTGTATGCCCATTTTGGTTCTTAAGAAAGCTTTTGCGTTTGCAAAATCTAAGATATTAAGGGCATTCTTCTTTATTTTCTATTAAATGTTTCCAAGTTGTCTTATTCACCTAAAACCCTTTCATTCATTTGAGATCTACTTTGGCATATAATACAAGGCAGGGATTCCCACCACCACCACCATGTATGTGTCAAGTCAGTTTGTCCTCTCCCCACTGATGTGAACCTGTCAGACTCTGTTGTTGAATGCTATTCAGTCACCTCAGACTCATCGAGGCCCTAAGTTGGATAGAATGGAACACTATTCAGTCCTGTGTTGTCCATATAGGGGGTTTTTTGTGCATCCACTGTGTTAATCTGTTCATGCATAGTTCTTCACTTTTGATGCCATAAAACAGAAGAGATCATGGACAGCACATTTTGGTTGGCTGGCTGGCTGATTGGTTGGTGTGGATTTTTTTCCTTTTGAGTTTGTGAGGAAGAAAAGCCAAAAAGGACTTCTAAAAATATTTATTATTACAAGAAGCTTCAAATCCCTCTCATATGTTTTGACACTTAGTCTTTTACATTTAGGCTTTTATATTTGACTTTTATAAGTTTGTTTCACCAAGGTCAATCTTCTGTCTTGAAACCATCCTAGTTCTTAAGTTTTAGGCCTTGCTCCATTGCTGACTCTCTACAAATCACTTGATCTCTTTTAAGGTTCACCAGCAACAGAATAACTTGAGTAACTAGGGTAGTGCTCAGGTGATTGATACATATGCAAGATCCTTTGAAAGAGTGAGCAGGACACAAAGTCGTGTGTACTTCTGACTATTGCAAGCGTCTGTTTTTGATACAGTTAATGCAGTTCTATGGGTAGAACTTGTTTTATAGGGAAGATCATGATCTTTGAACTTTTGGTGACGAGAAAGACTCATTGCAGTTGCTACAAGCAAGTTCCCAAACCTCTCTGCACTTGTTCCTTCGTCTGTGAAAAATGAGTACAAACACCTTTCCTCATAGAGATACTGAGAAAAATAACATATAATGAGAAAAATAAGATGATCTATAGCATAAAGCAGAGTTTTTCAATACAGATGTTCTGTAAACATACCTAATTATTATTTTTTTAGAACTATGTTAAGGAGTTTTTTCTGGGTTGGCATTCACTTCCTACATAACATGCCTCCAGAAACCCTATGAACTTTGATGAATGTCAGTAGTAGTTGAGGAGCTTTGAACCTTTTGTTCATAGGGTCGCTATGAGTCGTGCTCAACTCGAAGGCAATTGACAACAACAGCAGTCTTATTTAATGCACAATAACTAGAATATTAACCAGCTTTTTGACAGGAACGTCTATAAATTTTGCACAAGGTTCTCTCTTGAGATTCATACTATATATATCCTGTTATATTAGTAATTTTCCACAGAATGTTAGGGAGCAGTGATATTAGCCTCAAGACTAAGGTTCACCTGATCCAGGCCATGGTCTTTGCATCAGAGAGCTGGACAGTGACTAAGGATGACAGAAGAAGAATTGATGCTTTTGAGTCATGGTGCTGGAGAAGAGTATTGAACATACCATGGACTGCCAAGAGAACAAACAGGTTTGTCTTGGAGAGGGTGAAACTGAGTTTCTCCTTAGAGGCAAGGATTTTGAAGCTCCTTATCACATACTTTGGACATGTGGCAAGGAGGGACTGGTCTGTGGAGAGGGAAATGATAGTTGGGAAGGTGAAGGGACAGCACAGGAGAGGAATACCCTAAATGAGAGGGATTGACATGGTACCTGGGGCAGTGGGATTAAGTGTGTCATAGTCAGTGAGACTGGCTCAGGATAGGGCAAGCTTCAGAGCTATTGTGTATAGGGTCACTTTGAGTTACAGACAACCCAATGGCACATAACAACTCCCACATATGCTCTGGCACACATATCTGATCTCTCTTGTTTTTCTTTCAAAATATTCTTCAAATATGTGTAAAAATGGCATCAAACCTCTAACGTCATAAGGGAAAAGGAGAATCACTATCAACAGTCCAAGGTTGATTCCTGTGAGGTAATCAGACATACTTCCTCCCTCCAACCTTTTCACCAATTCTAACGCCAGCCGCCTCTCCCACAAGATACTGTTTCTCTTCTGGGTTGTGATTAGTTGCAGTGGCCAAATAGAACTCATGGAAACCCGTAATTACGGAGTTATTTAGGAAAGTAACAGAATGAGGAAAGACTCAGATCTTTCCCAAGTCTTTACTTCTCTTTGAACAGCACAGTCTCCTCTCAGCAGGTATTGAAAGCAGGATTTTCTCTGACTTTCAGCCTCACCCCTCCCCCTGCTTTGACCAAGCTCCTCAGCTCCATCAGTAAGTGCCCAGAGACCATCCACTGCACTAGGAAGTCTCCTGAGTAAAGATGCCCAGCTCTCATTCAGGAGGTCAGCCATTCCCACTGTAGCCACTTTACTTCCAATTCTACTGCGTCCTCTCTGCCACCACATCTTGCCGTCTCATGCTGCCTTCTGCATATTAACAGCTCTCTCTTCTGTCTTTTGACTTTCAGTACATGGACCGTGGATAAAAAAAAAAATACATGTTCCTCCCAGTTCTTATTTTCCTGTTTCTGAGATGGCTGGCTCATTTTCCAGTTGCTGCTGTTGTTGTTGTTATGTGCCATCAAGACACCTGCAACTCATTGCGACCCTCTGAACAATAGCTCTGAACCCTGCTCTGTCCTGAAGCAATTTCACTGTCTCTGAAAGACCTACCTCATTACCCCAAAATCTTCTTTTAGAATTCCACGTATTCTCATAGTCCTACACCCTACTACCTCATTTGTATTCATGGAAAATTATCCAGACCTCTTGGAGGAATACAAGCACCTTACTTACATGGTCCAACTCAACAGCATGTAACAACAGCAGCAACTCAATCATTTGGTAGGAGTTAGCAGACATGAATGAAAAGATCATTTTACAGTGACCCATTGAACCACAGTAATTCTGTAAACTATCCATTGCTATTATGTGCTGATTGGAGGCCTTGAATGGTTATGATCCAGCAACACAAGAAAATTGTGTCCACGAGGGTGAAGTTCTGCCCATCATCAACGTGCCCTTCAATTATTGACAAAGTTCATCAGCTTCCTGAGCATTTCCTCAGAGTGCATAACATCTCAGCCTATGTGCTTGTAGCACCTCATTTATTCCCTACACACTTAGGTACACTAATTGGTTAATTATAATTCTCCAATTTAGTCTTATGAAAAGCCAAATGGCAAGTGCTTTAATGTCCCAACCAAGATCACACCTTGCTTTAGTCCATGAATAGGCATGGTGGATAGTTTTTGAAGAATTTGAGCATCTCTTAAGTATATTCTATTTCAAGCAGTCCTCTTAAGACAAGTAGAAAATGAGAACATTTGAACCAGACAGAACAAACTACCTGTTTAAGGAATGCCTGATTAAGATATTGTTTAAAGCCAGAGGATCTTGATAGTGTCCAAAATGGCTTTTAAAATGTACCATGAGTTCTCCAGCCAAGTTTAGAAGGAATGTGAACCAGTCCTACAGGGATAGTCGCCTCATAGCTATGTATACCCTTTGACCTCATCATGTAAGAAGTGCTTAATTATTCTCATTTCGTTTTTTTCTTTTGTTGTTGTTATATACCATCAATTCACCTGCTACTCAAAGCGACCCTTTATATACAACAGCTCTGAAGCCTGCCCTGTCCTGAGCCAGTCTCACTGACTGCAACACACCTTCCCTCATTACTCCAGTTACTATATCAATCCATCTCATCTGGGTTCCTACACTGTCCCTTCACACCTTCTGAGCATGATGTCCTTCTCCAATGACAGATCCCTTCTAGGCACATGCCTAAAGTATGTGAGATGGATCTTCAAAATCCTAGCCTCCAAGGAGAAACTTGGTTTCACCCTCTCCAAGACAAACCTGTTTGTTTTCTCAGCAGTCCATGATATGTTCAAGACTCATCTCCAGCACCACATCCCGGACACGTCAATTCTTCTTCTGTCATCCTTAGTCATTGTTGAGCTCTCAGATGCATAGCAAGTAATTGCAAAGACATGGCCAGGATCAGGCGAACCTTAGTCTCTGGACTGACATCGTTTCTTCTCAGTACTCTGGAGAGGTCCCTGACAGCAGATTTTCCCAGTTCAGTTCTTTTGATTTCCTAGCTGCTGGTACCAAGAGTGTTGATTGTGGAACCAGGCAAGCTGTATTTGTTGACAACCTCAGACTCTTCTCCATATATCATGGTGCTGCCCATTGGCCCAGTGGGGTTTTTTCTTTTAGTTCTCTTAAATTTATTTTTAAGTCAAAGAAATATCTTTTTCTGGTTTAACATTGCTTTCCTTCATGATGTTGTTGTGGTGGTACATGCCTTTGTGTCAACTACAACTTAGAGTGACCCTTTGAACAACACATCTGATCCTTGCCCTACCCTGAGCGTTCCTTACAATCTCTGATCTGATTGAACCTATTGTTACAATCACTGTGTCAGTCCCATATTTTTGAAGGTCTTCTTTTGTTTATCTGACCTTTCACCTTTCCCAGAGTGATACCTTTTTCTAATACTGCTCCCCCTCCACCAGGGCACTATACCCAAAATATGTGAGAGGTCATTTCACCATACATGCCTTTAAGGAGCAGCCTGGTTAACTTTTTCCAGGACATAGTTTATTCTTGGCTAGTTTGGAGGCTCATGTGTTTAGTGGGTTTAGTGGTTGGATTGTGGAAAGTGGATCCTCTTGTTTTGGGTGTGGACAGTTTGGTTGCTTTTTATTTCTTTCGCAGACATGTGTGAGCTGATTTGGACTTGCTGGCTTTAGCTAACAAATGAGCTGCGGGCTGGAAACCTCTTGTTTAGAGTCAGTCAGGACCTGGTGGATGGGCCTTGGCATTTAAAAGTCGATTGGGCCCTTGGGACTGCAGACCTCACGCCTGATACTGTTTTTGGGACAAACATTCTTCTAAGTGGTTCAGCACTGATCTGTCAGTTTGCTGTAGTGAGGTAACTTGGGGTTGCTGTGATGCTGAACACTGTGCCACTTGGGTGTCCGATGCCATTTCAGTTACCCATGGTGGACAGTGTTTGGTGGAGCTCCCTGTTTAAAACGGATTTGGAAGCAGGAGTGGCATTCACTTCCTGAACAACATGCCTCTGGAAACTATGAACTTAGAGAAACAACAGTAGTTATAGAACAGGGTTCAGGTCTTTTGAGTTGAGCTCAACTCAACTGCACTTAACAATAGTTTATTCTTGTGGCATTCCATGGTATTTTCTATCTTCTCACCAACACCAAAATTTAAAGGCATCTATTCTTCACCTGTCATCCTTATTCATTGTCTGTCTTTCATAGATTGAAAGAAAGAACACAGTTCCTTTCAGTTCTTTGTCAACTTCATGAACATAAAACATTCACCTGGTATTCTGTGGCCTTTAATATTATTGTACTGCAAGCCTTTATTTTTATTTTAAATTAGTATTTTGGGCTACAGTCTTCAAACAAGGAAAAGGCATGGGAACTAATTGATGTTTTTTCCCTTTCCATTAGGTGCAGTCGATTTCAATCAGAAATCAAACGCTTGAAAATATCATCCCCAGTGCGTGTTTGTCAGAACTGTTATTACAACCTACAGCACGAGAGGGGTTCAGAGGATGGGCCTCGAAACTGTTGAAGATATCAACAAGCTGACTGGAGACCATGGTCTGTAGGACTCCTGCCCGATTCCCCTGCCACAGCTCCCAGCTCTCGGAAGGCATTAAAACAGTCTCCGTTTACACATCTCTTCATACCACGTGTTTGAAGTGCTGAATTCAAAGGGATCATTGAATAAACGGGTGTTGAGTACAGTATCGGGGCAAATGCTATTCAGGTGAACAGCACAAGAAGAATATGAGGTGGTTCCTAGGAGCAGCATTTTTGATATTCCATTCTCCCTGTTGAGAAAGGTACACAAAAACGTCATTCCCTGTCTTTCCTTGCATCTCATTTTTTTTAGAACTGCTCATCCTTGTTTAAGAAAGCCAACAACAACAACAGCGGCTGTTAGGAGATGGTTGTAAATCTGACTTCTTTGCAAGTAACTGTATATTGTAAATAAATATAAAGGCCTTTTTTTCTAAGTGAGGACTTAATGCCTGTAACATGAGACTTCAAACTAAACCACTAACTCAATGAACTACTTATGGTTTGTCTGACATCTCTCATTTACCAATTAATTATACATATGTGTTTTTTAAATTCTTCAAGACATTATCTGTGGTCTTTTTTCCCTCCTTTCACATCCAGCCTGTGTGCCTGATATCCTTTCTTTCAAGTTGCCCGCAGTGTCTCCACTCCAGCTAGGCTAATAACCAAAACAACGTGGACCTTCTTTAGGAAACAGTGTAGGAGAATAGGATTCCAGCTGTGAGATCACTTGGAAATCTCTCAGCATTGTGCACCTGCCTGAACACCACCTCAGTGTTGTTCTTATGTAACAAAGCCCCTCCCAAACTTTTACTTAGACTGCCATTTGGTCCTAGCCTACCTTCTTAGCATTGTAAAAATGGTCAGCTGACCAGCGTAGCTAGGGAGCCAGTCCTGCCTCCACTAATGGAAATATATTTGCATGTAACCTGAAATTAGCTCCTCTCACATAGAACATAAGAAGTATGTCTTTGAAGACACGAATGTTCTACTATAGCTTATTTTCCAAAAAAAAGGGAAAAATGTGTACAGAATTAACCTATAAACTTTGTTGTAAAACTGGATCATGTCAGAACTGCTTAAGATTAACCTTTACCATTTAATGCCATCTACCTGAAAACAGTGAGATTTATACTGTATCAATGTCTATATTTTTGGTTTTGCTATGAATATAATTACAGTATTTTAATATTTAGTTAATTTAATTTGTTCTAATAGTTGGACACAGAACACACAGATCTAGGGGGTTAGAGCTGGTGGGGGCAAAGAGGGAAGTTTAGTTTACAGGAAAAAGGCTTTGGTGGGATTTTTTAAAGTGTGTGTTATGTACATATATATATATATATATATATAAAGCAAATGAAACAATTAATCTAGATTTTAACATTTTCAGATACTTAGTGATATTATGAACAATTCTAAAAAGCCCTGTGATTTTAAAAATATAGGATCATTAATGGCCCGAGAAAGGAAGGACAGGACTTCACGCCCTAATGAAATATCACAAAGGACAGCAGCGGGCTTTCCCAATTCTTCTTCTGTAGGCCCTGCTGACAGGCACACTTATGCACTAAAATGCACATATATGCACATGCATTCAAACATAGGCATCTGGTACAACAGTAATCTTGTACCTAATGGGCTGAAACCAGCTTAAGAACACATTTGTTCTTCCTGATAACTAGGTCTCCAAGAAAAAAAAAATATATAAAGGCTGCTTTAGTGCCTTATGCTTACTAAATTTAAATCTTTATTTACCTAGGTTTGAGCCTACAGTCTATTTATGACTACATATCAAAATTGATAAAAATACTTCCATTTCTAAAAGTTCAAATAGTCTCGTTAATAAAAGGATTATTGGCATTACTATAACTTGAAGAAAAAGTTGTGTTCTGTTTTCCTTTCTGTGTCTTACTCTCCTTGCCATGCTCCCCGCCACACCCCATCATCATCATCTAACTTCAATTCCGATAAATATTAAATGCTGGATGGTAAACAGTTGCAGAAATTGTACTGTCACTGTCACGTCATCATTGGGCTTGGCCCTGTCTGACCGTATAGCTGAACTGCACCAGTGTTATTCTATACTTTTTAAAAGACACGTCTTCCTTTTGTCCAAGAACTATGTTTACCCCAAACTCAATGGCAGAGGAGTTCTTTAAAGACTTAAAGGAATGTGTGTATGTAGCTACGTAAAGGTTATTCCTCTATGTGATAGAAATTTATATGGCATAAACACTTTCAAACTTTCCAACACAACTTCCATAACAAGAGGGTGGAAAGCAAAACCCTCATAATAGTATTTCCTTTGGCAGCTGGTGCTGTGGGCAACTGCTTTGTTCAGTGGGGTTTCTTTTTGTTGAGGTTTTTTTGTTGTTGTTTTGGGGGTTTTTTGTGGGTTTTTTGTTTGTTTGTTGTTTTTTTGTTTTGTTTTGTTTTGTTTTGTTTTGCTTCCATTGCAGAAATTGAAAATCACTCACACATGCAAATACACTCAAGAGCATTAACATGCATCTTTGGATAAATTCTGTGTTCCATGCAAGTTTGTTTACCAGTTTATAATCTCCACATATCCTTCTGCTTTTCTGTGGTCTGTCTTCTTTCTCAGAGAGTACCTCACAGGGCTCCTGCCTGGTCTATGTAGTTTGTTGCTCATTTATTCATCCATCCATTTACTCACCCATGTGTTCTAATATTTTTTATGTTGTGTACAACCATCATGTCACGTGTTTGAAAAGGAGAATAGCTGCCCATAGCAGCCATCTGTCTGAATAATAGCAGAACACTCTAGATAAGTTATTTTGCACTTTCTTATGTATAAAGTTGGTAGAAACTTATTTTTGCTTTGTATCATTTAAAGACATTTTGTTTGGTAAATGAACTGTGTATAAAATATTTATGCCGTTAAAACTGTTTTTAGAAAGTATTTTTAATTTCAGCAAGTTTGGTTACTTGTTGCATGACTATTAACACAGCTGACTTTTTGTGTCAGTGCAATGTATATTTTTTTGTCCTGTTATTAACTTGTAAGCCTTAGTAATGGCCAATTATTTGTACAGCAACAGAAGTAAATTGAAGATACTGGCTAAGACTGGGTTGATTGTGGACTTTTGTACTATATTGCAGAATCCAAAATTAGGTTTGGTGGTTATGTAAAAGGCCTGAAGAATTACTATCTAGTGTGCAATCTGTGATACCTGAATGTTCATTGTATATCTGTCTCTGATGCAAAAAGGTAGAGTAACACAATACAATACATGATTAAATGCAATAGTCCAGGTACTTAAGTATTTTTTTTTTCATTTCAAATAAATACCTACATTTACCACCAAATTTTTTTAAAAAGAATTTTAAGCCAGTTCTTCATAGGAAAGGACCCTGAGGTCTAATAATTTCCCTAAACTGTTATTTATCATTTAAAAGCACGTGCTTAAGATTGCAGTGATTAGTTTGGTAGTGTTCTAATTAAAGTTTTAGTTTTATCCAGCCTTTACAAAAAGTAGTCAGCAGCACACTTGTATGTGTATAATAAATATATCTCCTAGGTTTACTGTAATCATATCAGGGTTATCCAGTATCCCTCTTTCTTAAAAGCGTTAAGGCCCCATTCCCATTGCTAATCTTTTTAGTGTAGTGTCCAACTTGAGGGTATTAGAACTCAAATAATTTACTGACCTTTTTTTTCTCACTGTTAGTAACTTACCTGGTTTTTAAATCACATTAACATTTTTTTAAATTTAAAAATCAACAATGTCAGTCTGGAGATTAAGATGTGCCTCATTCAGGCCATTACTTGCTGCACATCAGAGAACTAGGCAATGACTAAGGATGACAGAACAGTTGATGCCTTTGAGTTGTGGTGCTGGAAAAGAGTATTGAGCATACCATGGACGTCCAAGAGAGCAAACTGTACTGGAGAGGGTGAAACCAAGATGCTCTATCTCACATACTTTGAGCATGTGGCCAGGAGGGACCAGTCTTTAGAGAAGGACATTATTCTTTGAAGGGTGGGGGATAATGGAGAAGAGGAAAACCCCGGGTGAGCTGGATTGACATAGCAACTGGGATAACGGGGGTATGTGTGTCAGAGACAGTAAGACTGGCTCAGGATAGGACAGGGTTCAGAGCTGTTATACACAGGGCCTCCATGAGTGTCATGCAAGTCATTGGCAATAACAACAGCAGTTTGTTTTGGTGAGTGTATTTATCTTGTTGAAGACGCCAACCAGAAATCTCAGTTCATTTGAATATTCAACAGCAGAGTCCCAAATTTAAGGGTATTGTGGTTCCTACCAATTGTACCTCAGCACAACTCCATTTTGGAGGCAGAAGAACCAATCAGCGGAGCCTAGGAGAGCTGCCCTTTTTTTTACACAGTGTTTATTTTCGTTTTAATAGGGTTAAACCAGGCTGCTCCTTGGAGGCAAGGATTCTGGGGCTTCGTCTGACATACTTTGGACATGTTGTAAGGAGAGACAGGTCTTTAGAGAGGGACATCATGCTGAGTAGAGTAGAGGGACAGTGCAGGAGAGGAAGACCCTCTATGAGGTGGATTGATTCAGTGACTGGGGTAATCGGGATGTGTGTGTCAGAGGCAATGCGATTGGCACAGGATAGAGCAGGGTTTAGGGCTGTTGTACATAGGGTCGCTATGAGTCGCAAACGACGGCACATAACAACAAACAACAACAACCAGGAGACAGTCAAGGCAGACACTTCTGAATTCTCAGCCCTAGAAGTTCTTTACGAGTTTAAAAGACAAATAAGCAAATGATCATCAGGGCATCGTTTTCTACCAGTTCACCAGAATACCTTCTGCCTGACCCATTTAGAATATCAAAGAAGGAGCAATTTAATGGCATTGGCCCAGCATTCAGTTTTTTACTTTATTGATAATCTCCTTCTCCCCCCCCCCCTTATTTTCAAAGCATCTGCAGAAATGTTTTGACTGCTGCTAGCAAAAGCACCAGGCCATCCTACTACACTCAAAGAGGAGGAGTCTAGAGAACCGTGGGGTAACAGCTAGGAAACCGGTCCGCGGCTTGAATGGCTTGGGAATTTCAGAAGCCTGTTACTCGAGCAGTCTGTGTGCATCAGTTTTCCTCCTGTGTGGATCCTTGCTTCTGACGATCTTTAGATGGCACTTCATAAACTTTTTAGTCTTTGATTCCCCTTGGCCCGTAAAAATTAATAAAGCCTGTGAAGAGCATCTATGGTTTCTTTCAGTCTATCAAGAGTCATTGTATTAGAAACGAAAACGGATGTTCCAAATATAAAAACCTGCTGCCATTGCAACTGCCTGTGGTCTGTGCCACCGGAGCACCATGGGGAAAGAGGAACAGTCTCGCATGTGACTTAGACTCGCACTTGCTGTAGGGTCAGCTATGAGTCAGTTCCAGCTTGGCCATAATGAGCTTGAGCTCAAGATTGTCAGCCAGTTCCAACTCATTTTACCTTACAGGTCAGAGTAGTAGAAAGGCCCTATAAAGTTTCTGAAGCTGTAACTTTCTTCCGAGGAATGGCTAGTGGGTTCAAACCACCAACCTTTGAGTT